TAATGTTTAAAATAATGTTTATAAACCAATTATAATTAATTAAGTTGCTTAAACAACTATAAACAAAACAGCATCATGTATGTATGCATAGTTTAATACAAAGGGCCGAAAGCCAATCACACAGAGTACATTTTTCATTTAAAAACACGAGTTGCAGTGGGATGGGGAAATAACCCGCCATAAAGTCTCGAGATGTGTTTTTTCAAAGTTGAACTTGCATTAATATTACATTGCTTTCTAAACATGCGGCTCTTTTGTGCGAGACGCGAGTGCAACGGTGATAGATGTCCCTCTAGAAAATGCTCTAAATATGCATTCTGTGTGAACGGCTTGATGTTCTCTTTTCCTGCAATATTTGTAATTAACAATTCAGCAGCGCCGCATCTAGTGGCTTCAACTGGATAGGCTAACAAAAACATTATAATGCAATGACACTTACATCGTCATCGCATCTCGTGCGCCACTGATAAGGCAGCCTGACACACACCTATAATTCGAATGCAACGTTTTTGCATTCGAATGTGGATTTTTATTTTAAATTCGACGAATATTCGAAATTCTATTTTTTTTTTTGACAGCCCTACACCGCAGTACTTTTTTATAATGGTCCCGTTATATCATATCAGACACCATGTGATAATTTAGTACTTAATATTGTCATTTAATCCTATTTTTGCCACAAAGTGACCACTTTTTGCAGTATCCGCTGAGCATGCATACAAGACCATCTCAGCGTTCCGCAGGTTTCCTCTAATCTGTGTTTACTGCACAGTTTTTTCTCCCAGACCTGCTGTAATACCTTCTGTAAGACCTTCTTCAAATAGTCAACATGATAAAGCCGGTTGCGGTGTTATCTGACAGGTTGTTTATGCTTCTAATGTGTTTGCAGAGCTGCAGAAGAGAGTTTATTGCGTAATAAATGGCCATGGACTGATTCGTTAGGGTTTAGATATCATAGATAGTCGCTATGATATATTTGTGTCTTTGGTCCCTTGTTCAATGTAAGTGGGATTTTTTTTATCCTAACCCAAATTAAGTGATGATTGCTCTACTAATAGTAAGTACTGGCCCAAATCAGAGCGTCTTCATTTATTCGTCCACCTGTTTTTATTGCTTCAAGCTCTACTGTGGCAAGCAAAAGTAGTGCGGTCAGGAATAGATCTGCTGTTTTGAAAGTTCTTGAGCTGTAATAAACTCGAATCCTTAAGGCTGTTTTGACAGTGAAACTAGTACTATCAGCAGATAGGGGCACGTCGCTGGACACGAGATCTCT